CCCAAAAAAAGGATCGTGCTGACCCGTACAAGAGGTGCGGCTGGGTGTATATACGCCGTTGCTATACCGCTGCATCAGCTGCGGTAAACGTGGTATAGGTTTCTTTTTTTTTTCAAGTCGAATCACGATCGGCGACTTTTTTTTTCAATCGTGCAGGTACAAGGAGAGAAAGGGGGTCCGCGCGTTGATTTAACCGTACGATAAACACGTTCGCGTAGGCGTCAGAGAATATCAATATAACTTTTCGAGTGCTTTTCGCCTCCACAGTGACTCGAGAGTATACGCTGTAACATATATTTAAATAACTGCTTACCAAGAGTTATTCCTTTGTTTTTGTTAAATATATGATGATATTAAAAAATCACGTTTCGGGCACATAACTATACATATACCTAATGACTCCTCGATTGGTTGTGTCAGGTATATTTATAAGTGCAAAGGCAGAGCTGTTGACTCATGGTATTTTTTCGATTTTCGTGATGAATGTTTTATGAATCAATCACGAAATAATACAAAATTATCATTTTCAAGACGAAAGCAGCAAAAAAAGGCACATTCATACACATACGGGGGAAAAAAAAAAAAGAAGAAAAAAAAAAGAATTTAAGTAACATTCCCAAGCGCAATGAACAGCGTGACATCATCATCGCGTCATCGTTTTTAGTAAATTAATGTGCGCGCGCGCGAGTGATGATGTCATGATGCGAACGTACACGCTACATAGCCAATATTCAACGGTTTCCGGTGTAAATCTATATATCCTCCTGAAAATAAACAAAACGCCCATGTATAGCCAAAGGATTGACAAAATTGTCATCATCTCTTAGTATTTTATCCAGCACCCGACACGATTTCTCGGGAACATCGTTTGTTGATCGGTTGAAAATCGGCTACCCCTTGCACTATCACGTTTTCCATGTAAACAATTTATTCTAAACAGAGTGAGCGCCTAATGTAGCCCACGTGTCTTTTGTCATATCGGTAAGGGCACCTGGTGATATATATAATAATCGAGGTCACGCGTCGCGTTGAGCTCGTTAAAATTAAGAAAAAATTCCCGAATTCCGTCGTATACTCTCTGGTGTTGATGAGCTCTGATGGGTACAACGATACACTTTCATAAAACAACGTCTTTCACTAGGTGCTAACGATCAACTCCCCCCTCCCTTTTAGCCCCGAAAATAAATGAAAAAAACATAGCTGTGCGGGTATGTACGCATGACGATGACAGCCAATCAACCCAGATCGGTTGAAACCAATAAGAGATCGATTAACCGCGTCTTTTTTTATCCTCGAGGAGTCGAATATTTTTTATTTTTGCGAGTTTGAAAAAAAGAAGAAAAAAGGCGGTGTGCAGCGATACATCCGAGCTTTCGTACATTTACGTGCTAACGCAGCAAAGTACGTACATGTATAATTTATGGGTTTTATTGTATGTATAACATGACACCGGCAACAGTAACGCGACTGTGGGAGCTCTTCGTTTTTAATTGCGCTGTACGGATGTGCATTCAGTTTCCCCTACCCCCCCCCCTTCTCTTTCTATTAAAGTACTTTATTGCTTTGCGAATCAGTCGCGCAGTGCGTGCGGTCTTTTTGCCGATTTATCGATGGATTTATCGTGTACAGTTAACAGCCACGCATATAATACGTATAGATATCGGTACACAAGGACTTTGAAGCAAAAATTGATGAAAAAAACAATAAATAAAAAAAATAAATAAATAAATAAATTAAAAAAAAAAAGAAACGAAGAATGCCTTTACGACAAGCCAATAGAAAGTGAAGCGTGCTGTTAATTACGTAAACCACTACTTACGTGACGACATTGGGACACGTTGCACGTGAGATCCTTCAGCAGGATAGAGTTTGAGAGAATCGCACAAGGCAATCCTCCAGGTGAAAGATAATTTACCGGCTCACTGAGATGGGTAAGGCCCAACGTTAGAAACTCGGGCAACTGCACGAAAATATCAAAAATCACACTTGCACTAGTCATAGTAAAAAATTTTTTTTTGCGTTGTAAGGGAACAACAAGGAAGAGTACCGGACAAAATCAGCAAGTACACTGACGTAAGAGCAGCAATAAAAAAAGGGAAACCCAACAGAATTCATTTGACATTCCCTTTCTGAATCCTGTAACATGAGAAAAGAAAAAGATAAGAGATATATATACAGCATGATATGTAACGGTGGCATTTCCCGAGAACCACGTGTAGAGCGATTTTTTCTGACGCGAACCCCGTTGGAATTGATTTTTTAGGGCAAATCGCTTTTAAATAGGAGCCGATTGAAAATACGTTCCAAACTACCCCTAAATGGGGTTGGAAGGCTATAGCACGCCCGCATGAACTCGCGACGTTGCCACATTGTTATTGGAGCTTAGTCGGTAAGCAGTGAGAACTATATCCATGTGCGCACGCAAGAGCNTATAGTACCAATTCATGTAAACTCTTGAAAAAAAAAAAAAAAAAAAAAAAAAAAGAAAAAAAAAAGAAAAACTCTCCGCGCACAAGTGATTTGTACGCGTATAACTATGTACTTATACTATTGTGCGTGTGTATACGCTTATTACGCGTACGTATACAATGGAATGAAAACGAGACGTGAAACTACTGTAGCATATAATTGCATATGCTTATACGTGAGTCTCTGCATAATTTATCATTGACGGCGGTACAGTTGAGCTTCTCTTTCTCTCTCTCTCTCTCTTGTGACGTTAATGAATAATTGCACGTATATACGTAGCTTAGCTAAATGTTTTCGTCTTCGACTACAATTTCTATATTCACCGCACAGTGGGGCTTTCCCCCCCATGTGCAAAGTTATTTTCGTTTACGCTTCGTTATCGGATAATAATTAGTCGCGTGGATTATTTGTTTATTTCAACAGTATATATGTATACAATATCTTCGATTCCTAAACTCGTTTCGTTATTGTTTCACTGTAATGTTATTATGTATATACTTAGTCCCTTATTGTCTTTGCCACTTTCAAAATTATATAAATCGCCGGGCGATACCATCGATATTCTTTTTTTTTCCCTCTCTTATTTTTCTCGTCCCCGATGACACAATAAACATTGAAAAGCTCAAGTATACATACCGTTAAATGCACGAACGGACAAAACTCGCCACGAAAATCAGCGGAACGTGCATATAAGTATTATAGTCATGTGTACGCTTTCAGTTATTGTTACGTTTGTAAAAGTATGTGGAGTTTTATCGCCATCCTCTCGTAACTTCCTTTTGTGTCGCTCTATACCCTTCCCCGCCGGCATAATCATAGAACAGCCGATTAACATATACCCTGACGGAGACCGGTATACGTATACATCATGCGGAGAGAAAGAGAGCGACTAAAGTACCTCCCTAATTTTTTGCCCATCTGACTTTTTCAAAATCCCGAGCTTTCCCTTCGTACAGCTCGGAAACTTTTTTTCTTTTTCTTTCTACAGTCTAGCTTGCGGCTTCACACCTCGGTCTACCTCCTCCGTACGAGCATACTGTCTTGTACCGCCAACAGAGCGGATATATTTACATTATGTGGTCGGACGCGGAAGTGCGACTCTCGATCGCGTCGTGGAAGCTGAATCACCGTTTTTTTCTCCTTATACTGCAGCGGGAAAAAATAATATCCCGCGCTTACCCTACATGTGTGTGTAAATTTTACAATAAAAAAAAAAAAAAAAATTTACCGAGTAATGCATTTGAAANTTACATATCAGCGAGGGAAAGCATCAAGCTTATAGTGGTGGGGGCTAAGTAGGCGGCCTACTATGAAGCGCTAGACAAGGTGCTGGTCCTCAGGGACCCTGAGTTTTTTTCAGGACTCGAGAGGATCAGCACCTCTAGCAAATGGTGGCAAGTTAGCTTATTAATGCTGTGAGACGCGATGGTTTCCTTGGTGGCTCCACTCTGAAGTAATGCTAACGCGGTTTCGGAGTGGATCAAAAGCCACGCGGCATAGGGGGGTGGGGTTTGGTAGGTATGGGTGGTAATATAAAAATAATCTACCGAGTTTAACACTAAAGCCAACCCTGTGGGCTTCGATTCACGTGAGGTGAAAAATTTACAATAAAAAAAAAAAAAAAAATTTACCGAGTAATGCATTTGAAACGATCGGCTGAGATAACATTTATTTGCACTGTACGCGTGGACGATTAGGAGGACGTTTGTTGCGAAAAAAAAAAATTAAACGTTATTTTCAGCGAGAACAGAAAAGTATATCATCCCAAAGGCCACGATTGTACATGTAGGCTTGTTTTCCCTGTCTGATATCGCGAGATTATTATTATTACTTGGAGCATATATACAACATAATATTATATAGACTATGGTAATAAAAGGTCACTTCGATTTTTGTCTCGGGCGTTTTACGTCTTCCGCGTAAATTTGCGTATCTTCGATACATTATCGCGGATTATGTTGTAAATAACGTTTTCAATGTAAAACATATTATATACATGTACGATAATATGTTCGATCGGCAACCATTTGTCGGATATTGTAAAATATCATAATCGATAAAAGCCGAACTCGATGGGTATTTATTTTTATCGCGTCGCGCTGGCGATCGTACATATAAATTTATACATCATATTATTTTTACAAGAGTTCTTATCTTTCTTACATCGAGTTGTGTCCCTATTGTATTGACCACGCGCCTTTTTCAACAAAATCCACGATCAAGAACAATTGGTCTTTCGTGATCTTATCCCTCAAACCGATACGTTTATCGAAAGCTATTTTTTTATTTATTTTTTTTTTAATTGTAATAAAAAGCTTCCAAGTGATTAGTCCATCCATGTATTATCAACCTATTGTAGAACACGTATCGTGTACTCATACAGATTATGTTACAAAAATCGGCAATAATTCTCTCGTAGCATTTCCAAACACCAATGACACGCGATGATAATAAGTACTTACCTTATCCACGTTATACAACTATACTTGTGTAACCTTATACATAAAGGATTATTGTCGTTTTTGTTGCAGATCAACAGCAAATACAACGTAGAGCTGGCGCGAGAATGCTTGGAATGGATAAAGACGATCACCGACGAAAACATCAACGTGAGCGGTGATATGGACAATTTTTTCAATGTCCTCGCGGACGGTACTCTTCTCTGCAAGTACGTATACACCCTTGTTATTCATATACTATGTACAAACACGCTTGTATGAACATAAGAACAATGGATTTGACGAAATTTTTATTTCAGATTGTCGAACTGCATCAAACCGGACTCTATAAAACGAATCAACGTTTCGGACCAAACTTTCAGGCGCATGGAAAACATCAATAATTTCTTGAGGGTGGCCAATGAATTGGGCGTACCTTCGCAGGAGACCTTCCAGTCCGTCGATCTCATGGAGAGGCAGAACCTCAATGCCGTCATCATATGCCTCCAGTCTCTTGGCCGCAAGGTTATTGTGGATTTTTTTTTTTTTACCTATACTTCAATTTAATTGACTTACCGATCATGCACAAATGAGTAAATCCACGAAAAAAACCCCTTTTTTATCACCGATTCCCAAGTGATTTTTCCCTCAAAGTACATGATATTGCGAGACGAATGAGGCCCATGTAGAGGGTGTGCTTAAAAAAATTGTATTTAAAAATCGGGGACAAAAATGGAATGTATTGTTTGTCGGTTTACTTGCTTCTAACTGTATATGTAACCTTGTAAATTGTATTATTTATGCATTTCAGGCTAAAAACTACGGGAAACCGAGCATCGGACCCAAGGAGGCCGACAAAAACATCCGTAACTTTACGGAGGAGCAGCTCAAGGCCGGCCAGAGTATCATCAGCTTGCAATACGGCAGCAACAAGGGCGCGACCCAGAGCGGCATCAATATCGGCAACACTCGGCACATGTAGACCACAGGCGATGATTAGCGGGGCGAAATAAATAATATATAAGACACTTAAAGAAATCATACACATGCAGTTATACCTTTGCAATAACATACCGGGAGACAAAGGGGACCCCCGCGCCTCGTGTGTGTGTATATATATATATACATTTAGTATATTTTCCTCCGGTTGGAAAGTATACGTGAATGTGGATACATACGTGTGATTTTACATGTTGAAAACATTTTTTTTTTATACCTATGATCAGATAACAGAGGGATACGGTTGAGTGATGGGTGACATTCTGTAAAACCTTTACGTATCAGAGACGTTCACTTTTTTTTCTAATTTCATTTCGCTTCTCAGAATGACTGCAAAGTTTTTGGAGAGTTATCGTCTTGAAAAATGGACTTTAATTGAGTTATACATATTTTTGGAGTTTTTTTCCTCTTTCAATTCAGTTTTTGAATTTCAATTTTTCTCAAATAATGTGTACAGCGACACAATCAGGGTAGCTCTTTTCTCATCTAGATTGCACGTAGATCGTTGCATGAAAACAAATTTGTATGAAAAAAAAAAAAAAAAAAAAAAAAATTTAACTACACCATACATATAAAATTTCAGCGAAAATAGTTTTATGCAATACCAACACAATCATGTGAAAAATGAAAAAAAATGAAAAAAATAATTAACTATATTACTTTTAAGCAAGAGCATAAATATATTGATAATGTTATATTAAGTATTTTGTACAGATGAGTTTGGCAATATTAATTTGAAAAATATATATATTTGTATACATTTACTTACGGCCATGTGTTTTATTTCAGCTGTCTATCCATCCAAATAACTTTTTTGCAAAATTTTGTTTCATGTTAATTTTACTATACTACAAATATATATGATCCTTTAGCGTTTTTCGGGATAAAAAAACAGCCAAAACGGGTTTTAATATGTTTACAAAATATTTTTTTTTAAATGACACACTGTCGAAACTTATCTTTGGAAAGGATAGTAATCCAATCCTGTGTTGAACTTGAACTTGTGTTTTTCTGTCTTTGCCTTTTGTTTTGCTCCAATTTCTAGCATTTTTTGTACATCAGGTCTATGAGAATGGCAACAAATTAATTTTTGTTCCCATAAAATAGAATATATGGTTAATCATAAGATTTTTTTTCTTACCTATACATTGGTGGCAATAATTCCTCATGAAGGGTACATTTCTTGACACTTTTCACATCTTCACTAGTTAATATCGTCACTTTAAGTATATCAACATCTCTATTGTATTCTTTACGTAGTGATTCTAGTTTTGCTGGTGGTGCAAAAAAATGAAAAATAAAGTAGCTAGAACAAAAATAATTTTTCAACTGATGAGAATACGTTTTATCAGGAGCATTAGTTTACAAAAATACAAGGCTTACTGTGCTTCCCTGTGAGCTATTTGATTGTCCATCATCTTCCATGGTGTTGGCTGCTTACCCAAATTATCAATTTTCTTAATAAATCCTCCTGTTTGAAAAATTCCTTCTGCTGTTCTTTTCAAAACTTCTATCATTTGCGGCTGCAAATATTGAAAAACAAAAATAAGACGACTCAAATCTCAAGGTGCCTTAGTATTTGGCTCAAAATTACTATCACGCATTTTTACCACGTACCTTTGACATTGTTTTCAGCAGAAGCGGCATTTCGTAGACCGGCATGTTGACTGTCAAATTTTCAACAATCAACACTCAATAATGAATCAGGGTTTTTCAACAAACCTACGACAATTTATCTCATGAAAATAAACATGATTTGATGACTGACATAACCTTATGAGCACAAACTACAACCAAACACTCTTCTGTACTAATTCCCCTATACTTACCTATTTTAAAATTAATTCCACAATCCAAAAATTAATTGTAAACTTGCCGCTAAAAGCATCGAAAATGTCAACTATTTATCGTCTATTTATAAGATTATTTGCGGCTGGTTTATAATAAATAAAGTGAATTTACTGTAAATAGCAATAATTATTTGAATCAGCGCCATCTAGCGGTCTTGATTTTTTGGCCAAAAGTGGCCTCTAAAATTCTCAATCAGAGCAATCAGGGTTAGAGCCATTTAGTAAATTATAAACCAGCCGCCACTCATGATGAAGCTATAAAATAAAAAATTAACGATACATGTGTTTTTGGCGGCAAGTTAACAATCTATCTTATGCTCGAAAATTCATCTACAAAAGTATAAATACATAGGAGGTCGATTTTTGGTAGAAAATAGATTGTTAACTTGCCGCCAAAAACACACGTATCGTTATTTTTCCATTTTATAGCTTCATCATAAGTTGCGGCTTGTTTATAATTGACTAAATGGCTCTAATCCTGATTGCTCTGATTGAGAATTTTAGAGGCCACTTTTCGCCAAAAAAGAAAGACCGCTAGATGGCGCTGATCCTAATAAATATTACAACTTACAGCAGAGCCATTTAATCAGTTATAAACCAGCCGCAACTAATGTAATAGAAATAAAATGAAAAGTTGAGGTTGTTTGTGCTATTTGCGGCAAATTTACAATATATCTTTTACCCGAATATATACCCCCAAAAGTATAGACAATATACTTATATAGTTTAATAAAATCGACCACATGGCACTACTTAGTAGTGATTACTTTTACTATAATTACTACACATAACTTCATGTATATCTTACACCGCGCTCTCTTTACCAGAATGATAAAATCCAAAGTAAATATATGTATAAAGTTAATATATGTATTGAACAAATCTGTTTCCCACGTGACGATGTAACAAATATTAATTATAAGCTGTACTTGAGTAGATAACTTAGAAACTGTCTGCTTTGCAACTTGTGTGCGCGCTTTCGTGATAAAAACGTGCCAACGCAATGCGACATACAAAAAAAAGAAATTATTACCACTGTCATGTATATAGATATACATTTACATCACACGCATATATGTAGTAAAATAAATCGCAATTCGCGTTCGTTCATTTTCCATTCGTTGTTCCAATCTTAAATCTGTCTGCTGGAGAAAGAACTTCTTTCAAAGAAGTACACCTAAGTATATATCAACACAGAAGTATTCGTGTATTAAGCATTAAATAAAGCAGTTAATTTGTTAATCAATCTGTTTCAGATCGTCGCTTCTTATTTCTATAATTTCTATAAATAATTCATTGGAATGGCAAGTCTGTCTTTGCTGAAGCGAGCCTCGGCTCTGCTATTCACGAAAACAAGGACCAGCATCCAGTTGCGTCGTAATGAGACCACGAAATCAGCAAAAGGTCCGATTGTCGAGGTTTCAGAAAATGAAAGCAATGGCAAGTACTTTACGTTGTTTATTTTTAATCGCATCTGGTGGTCTGTCAAATTAATTGACTGATAAGCTGAGACATGAAATTATTTACAAAACTCATCAAACTTATACACAGGAATCACAACTATATCCATGTCAAGACCACCAGTCAACAGTTTGAACTTGGAAATGTGCGTAGAACTGAGAAAGGCTTTGGAAAATGCAGTTGATAAAAATTCAAGAGGAGTGATTCTCACGTCGACTCTACCTGTTTTTTCAGCTGGCCTGGATATCATGGAGATGCACAGGCCAGAAATCAAAAGGTGCACCGAGTTTTGGCATGCTCTGCAAGACTTGTGGCTGACCCTGTATGGATTAGGCATTCCAGCAGCTGCAGCTATCAATGTGAATTTTTTAGATAACAAAGTTTTGAGGATACACATGTTATTTTGAGGGCTCGGTTAAATTAAAATTAATTCTTTAGGGTGCTAGTCCTGCTGGAGGCTGTTTATTGGCATTATCATGTGAATACAGAGTAATGGCCCAAGGAGAGCACACCATAGGACTAAACGAAACCAAGTTAGGAATTGTTGCTCCAAAATGGTTTCAAGATTCCATGATAGCAGCAATAGGATATAGACAGACAGAACTAGCACTTATGAGGTGAGTTGAATTATAAGTAATGCAATCTAATTAAGTAGAATTAACTGTGGTATTTTAAAACAACAGAGGAAGTCTTTTTAAACCACAAGATGCTCTTAAAATTGGGCTGATTGACGAAATTGCCTCTGACAAAAATGATACTATTGCAAAGTGTGAAAAGTATATTTCCAGTTATGCTAAAATTTCAAGTAAGCAAACTTATACGTAAATTAAATTCTTATCTTCTTGTCAACTTGAAATCATTTAAAGTAATTTAAATAAAATTATCAGGGGAGGCGAGAGAGGCAACAAAATTAAGTTTGAGAAAAAAAACGCTTGAATGGCTCGAAAAAAATCGCGATTGGGATTCAACAATTTTCTTAAACTTTGTGCAACTGCCACAGGTCCAAGATGGTCTTGATAAATATTTACAAGCTCTAAAAATAAAGTCTTCCAAATGAATTTATCGAATCAAATGATATTTTTTCATATTTTTATATAGCATAGAATGTAATATATTGGAAAATTTAATTCCAAAAACATTTTTACTGTTTTCTAAAAATGTATATTTTCAAGCAAGTTATTGTTAAAAAGGTATAAAAATATATTTAAAACAAAAATATACATTTAAATATCAATGTATTTCGAGATCTTTGAAAAAGAAAATCCAAAAGTCGCGATCAATAATCCTCTTCGTCGGAGTGCAGATCATACTTTTCGGCTTCGCTACTCGTCACTGTAAACTCACTTTCTTTTTCTCCTATCTCCTCCTGCTGGCCCAGCAGTTTAGCCACGGTCGCATTCTCTTTGTGGTAATTGAGAAAGTGCGTTATTTCCAGAATCCGATTCCTGTTTCTGCTGGTCTCGTCTCTAGTGACAACGAAATACATGCGTTTAACCAAACGTCAAACAACCACAAATCAATCCACGACAAATTTCAACAAAACGTACTCCACCAAATTGTTGAGAAATCTCGTTTTCCACTCCTTCAACCTCGTGACCATTCGATCCTGACGGTCATCAATGATCTAAAATATTCATCCAATCATTAATTATCAAATTACACTAAAAATAACATACAATAAACGATGTTGCGTCAACGACCTGGAGGTGCATAAAATGCGAGCCCTGTAGGCAATTGTTGAGCGCCTCCTTGTCCTCCGAAATCTCGAGTTCAAAGGGCGATTTCTTATGGTCCTCGAGGCCATTGAGATAAACGACCACCATTGGCATCAAATTGTCGCTGTACTCGGTCTCGAAGCTTCGGAGCTGCGCAAAATGATCCTGAGCTACCTCGAGAAAAGCCGAGACCATGTCGTTCAAGTTGGCTTCGAATATTCTACTCATCTCCTGTCCAGGAGCAGTTGGACGACAAAACAATAAACAAAAGAATTTTCAAACATGCGATGTATATAATTATAACGTACGTACCTCGATCTGCTCGTGAACGACCGTCTCCTCGTGCAAAAGCTTCGACCAGACACCGTGCACGTACTCCCCGAACTCCCAAGCCAAGTGCCTCGCTAGCTTGTCGATCTCGTCAATGGCGTCGTCGTCAATGTCCGCGTCGTCCGCGACCAGGGCGGCCTCGCGCAACATCTGCGTCACTCTGACCGTAATCTCCGTCCTCTTGCCCTGGACGCTGTTCAGTACCCTAATAAAAACAAAAATTTACATCTTACACACAAAGCTTCCAACCAATGATGCAATACGCATATGTATAAAATATCGTAATTTTATGTATAATGTGATCAGGAATAACCGACGCGCGAGCTTTGTTGGTCGTAGTGGTGAGCACGTCGTCGAAGACACCGTCCAAAGCCTCGATCTCCTCGCGTCTGAGTTTCTCCTCCTTCAACCCCAGCTCGTACAGAGCGTGGCTTACCGCGGCGAAGCGCTGCCTGTACTGCTCGTAAGCTGCCTCGGTCCCTTGATTCAGACGCACCAATTTCTTCCCGTCTACATACATCGTGTGATACACGTGATATCGTCAAGCAATGTCCACATTATGCGCTCAACATCCATCATCGTCAATTATCAATGTCAAAGCCGTACCCTCGTCCTGGCTGAACATCATCCGGAAGAGACTGTCCTCGTCCAAGTACTCGACGTAGGAGAGCGCCTGCTGGGCTATCTTCTCCTCCTCGAGCCTCGCGGCGTCCACCTCCTTCCGTTTCTTCGACTCGGCCTCCTGCAGTTCTGAAAGCGCCCGACTGACACATCTCTAATAAGCACGTACTACTTACGATTAACGGATACTTGATGATAAAAAAAAAAAAAAAACTGTGCAACGTGAGTATATCGATGTATATATTCCTGTACCAGTGCTCCTCGGCAGCCTCGGCTCTCTCCTGGTCCGAAATCATTTTGTAGCCGTAATAGACGAGCTGCGGCACGAAAGCCATCAAGTAACTCGCGTATCCGTTTTTCTTGGCGCACGGATTGCCCAGCATCTGCAAGCTCCGGAGTCCCTTGAGCTTCCGCAAGTACAACACCTGGGCGCAGGGGACACACATATGGTTTTATTTAGCGATGGTGAAAATATAAAATATACGTTTGTACAAGCATATGTTGTATACTCACGTGGGTCTCGGTGTCGGAGACGTTGTTCTTGCCGAGGCTGAGGATCGCGAGGTTCTGCATGTGCTCGATCCCCTGGACTACCTCTATCTCGTTGTCGTAGAACGACAGCACGCGAATGTTGGCCAGAGCTTCCAGGTTCTCGATGACCCTTATGCGGTTGAACGACAGATCGAGCTCGCACAGGTGGACGAGGCTGTCGAGGTTCTCGATCTTCTCGATGGCGTTGTTGTTCAGTTTGAGCTTGACCAGGTTGGACAGGGGCCACAGGCAGGTGATCTGGAGGATGTCTGCATAAAACCGTTGGGAAATTAAAAACCTGGCGACAACGTTGTTGGGATTTCGAATCTGTTGTCGGTGTTCGAAAAAAACAACAACAAAAAAGTCATGCACAGTGGGAACAATCGAGCGCGAGGGAGAAACAAAAGCAAGTGCTCACTGAGGTACTCGAGGCGAATCTCGTGGACATCGGCGAGATCGGTAATTACGCGGCGTCGGCGTTTCGGCGACTGTTGCTCGTTCGCCGACGTCAGCAGCAGCTCCTTTGTCACGATGGTGTGCTTTTTCGGCTCGTAATTGTTGTTCTGTTGCATTTTTTTTTTTTTATCTATTGCGAAGACATGCGAGTACACACAATGGTCTGCGGGTGGGTGGTGGACAATTGTATTTCCGTGAGTGCAAGTGTGTTTGGGACCGTTGCCTGGGAAACCCACTTTTTATTACTCAGAGAAGCAGGTGTTCATGTAATGCGAGTAATACATGATACGGTTAACGTTGTTCGATCGATGCCTGCAGATACGTCCATCATCCGCACGAGCTTCTCGTTTACGTGTGTAAACGAGCATAATTTCTTTGAAAACTGTAAAGTAACTAATTTCAAGAAAATATCGTCGCGCCTACGGTAGAGTGAAAAAGAAATAGCAGTCCATTTCTTGCGCGTTACATTGTCCCAGTCCCATGCAATAGCTCGTGCTTCTTGTGTGTGTCGATGATATTTATATAGACGTGCTTGCAAGCTCACTGTAGTCATTTAAATTTGTCGCGCGTTTTGCTTAGGAACGCGCACATAGCAAATCGTCCAATCACGTGTGTGGGGAGATACGTCATCATTATTTTGTTATATATGAAAGTTTTGGAATTTTGGAGCAAAAAGTTAAAGGTCAAAACTAAACGAAAACATTGGAATTTGCACATTGATGGGAGAAGCACATATATATATATTTTAAAAAGTGCCAGCAGACGATACATCAGATCAACAATCAACTTCTGCTGCGTGGCGGCCACCCTGCACCACCACCCATATTGTTATACATGACAGAATATAAATTAACGATTTATAAGTACTTATTACATACTACAATTAGAAGTAGTTAGATAGTATCCATACGCGTGTGGGTGTATATAATTATACAAAAATACGTGTAATCGTTATAATATAACATATGGTAGGGCTCGTAGAAATCAGCTGTGCCACACGTAGGTATATTACAACAAATTGATGACAAGTTGAGTTCCAGGATCCCATCAGGGGTTGAATCGTTGAATGTTGTTGGTGAATGGTGATGCGATGCAGTGCAGACCTGAGACCTGACCTGATTCTTATCTTCTACTTGTACTTATATGTCAGTGAATTCATGCACGTACGTTGGCATTGACAATCTTCTACATACTTATCCGTCGTGTAATAAGGCATATGTCTGTATTTCTCTCGAGGCTCAGAAGGAGAGGAAACCGTATCAAGGGGATCTGAAGCAGGTCGCAAATCGACACCCCCGAATCGTTTATACTTACTTATACCTATATCTATACTTATCTCCGACAATTACTAGTGTTTGATTTGAGAAGACCGAGTTCAGTTTGAGAGTAGGTAAATATCCATGTACAATTGGTGTGGTGAGGAAGAGGAATAAGGATAGGTAATAGGTACTACGTACAGGTGTGTGCCGTGTGCTGTCACTGTGTCGTGCTGCAGAAGTGCAGAGTGCAGCCTTGCAGAGGAATACGAGGAGGAAGTGGTATATAAGTAGTGGACGTGCGTGGTGGGTGCTGTGTTAGTGCAAGAGTGCAGCCAGTACAGCTGAAAATAAATAGACACTGGGTACGGGTCTGGATACTCTGCCACTCTGGATCTAGAGCACACGAGCCGAGCATAGGGACTGTAGGGAGCAGCAAGGACTTCTTGTTTTGTGTTGTTAGGTATATATTGGCCCGCTACACCGCAACGATCACCTTTTAATATTCTTTTACCTATATACACAGGGCCCGAATAATTAGTTGTTATCGCGGAGGTGACGTTTGCTTGCTCGACGAACCAAAATCTATATAGAGCAGCGGCAGCAGAGTAGGAGAGGCCATTGCGTTAAGTTACGGTCGATTTGTTACTGTACATACACCTAAAGTCGCAGGTGTCGAGAACGCGTTATTATTCCGGGGCGGGGTTATCGTTAATATTGTTTTTTTTTGACACTGTTGTTGTTATTGTTGTTAATCACCTTGTTGTGCTCCTTTTAGTGAGCTCTTTTAATTGTGTATATACGTTATTATTTGTTATAACTCCATTGTTAATTGTCCAAAAGTTCTCGGGTAGCCGATTGATTCCCAGTGCCGTGTTTGGACTTTCTATGTAACAACGGTACACGTACGTCAAACATGTCGTTCTTTGGAGTCAACGTTACCAATCCCTTCAGCACACCAGTGGGCCAGAAGATAGGTGAGTACACTAGATGAATATATTCTACAGCATGAATAACATACCCATTTATCTAATGAATACTTAATTGGATTCCTTCAGAGCAAGCCACTGATGCCAATCTACCAAGCGAAAACTGGGCACTTAATATGGAAATATGTGACATCATCAATGAGTCGGAACCTACGAGCGCTGTTAAAGCCATTAAACGCAGGCTTAACCAGGCTGCTGGCAAAAATTACACTGTTGTCATGTACACGCTTACTGTAAGCTTTTGATTTTTGTGGATGATTATGTTGCTCTTTTTTGCATATTTTGACCATTTGTTGTCATTACTTTGGTTACAGGTACTGGAAACTTGTGTAAAAAATTGTGGTAAACGTTTCCATGCACAGGTATTTACGAGAGAATTCGTATCAGAGCTGGTAAAGTTGATAGGACCAAAGAACGAACCTCCAACCGCTGTGCAAGAGAAAGTATTAAATCTGATACAGACCTGGGCAGACACATTTAAAGGCCAGCCTCACGCACAGGGTGTTGTACAAGTTTATCAAGAACTCAAAAGCAAAGGAATCGAATTTCCAATGACAGACTTGGATGCAATGGCACCAATCATAACTCCTGAAAGGGTGAGAAAGTTATTCATTTTATTAATATATCATTCGTGGCTTCACCATGAATTTAGGAAATAAAAATTTACCATTAACAATTACAATTTTGTATGGTTTCGAATTATTACATTATATTATGAAATATCTTAATTTCATTTTTTCTTTTCTTTTTTTTTAATTTTAATTGTCTATAAACTCCGATATTGGCTATTATTATTAAAAATTTTTAAACAAATTAACACTTTTTCCCAAGTTAAGGCATTGAAAAGTGTTAATTGTGAATAATTGTCAACATCATAACAATATTCTATGCTGACAGACGTATTCAAGTAATCCGATACGTCCATACTTACTCGGTTTCAAATACATAAGACAACCTAACGTTTGATTATGATACTTTACTTACATCATGTTGAAATATACAATAAAAAAATTCTTTTTTACGCTTTTATATACATTGTGTGTGCCATTTTAGGAATTATGTAACATAATTTTTTTAATTAAATACGTCATTCCATTAACGATGAAAAGTTGATCAGAATTTTCTTTTTTTTTTTTTTCATGTACTCATAGTTTTTAAAACATGCGATATTGGTACGAATGAAGAAATGATAAAATCGTCTAAGTAGCTGCTTAATGTAAACAGGGTTCTCAGCAGGTGTTTTTAATATTTACTATGTCGATGTCTAGCATTTAAAAAAGTTAGAAAATCCTCTTTACACCGTGTCATGATGCGTCTTCTTTTCTTTTTTTATCTTATCACTGAAATTCTGTCACAAAAATACTTCAAGAGCTCTCGAAACATTTGACTTTCGAGTAGGCAGCCAAAAAACAAAACGTCACTCAATCAATATAACAATCAAATAATACGCCTAACGCGTACTTGCACCTGGCATTGGTATTATTATTGATCAACAATGTGTTACTGCCGAGCAGAGTGTGCCAGAGGTCGACGCAGCGAGTCAAGGCGCGGTAGCGGCAGCCGGGGCCACGGCGGCTACCACCTCGGCCTCGCCCGGTCCCATCCAGCATAACGAGCCCGGCCCAGTGTTGGGCTGCCGCGCTGGTCAGCTGATAGCTCTCAACGATCAACAAATGGCCAAGTTACGCAGCGAGCTTGACTTGGTGCACTGCAACATGCGCGTCTTCTCGGAGATGTTGGCCGCCGCCTGTTCGACCGGTGTCAATCCTCAAGAGAAGCAAACGGATCGGTTGCTCGCCGAGGACCTTGAGCTGCTCACGGTCGGTTTTGTTGTTTTTAGGAAGTTAAAGCCGTCAATTGAAATTAAAGTTTCTTTTGCTTTTTTTATTTTATTTTAACGAATCGTACTTTGCAATAATTTCACCACTACAACGCCTTTTTTGTTTACTGTCTACTGTTGTGTAAACAATACAACGATGCGTGAGAAAGTATTAGCACAGTCATAAAGGAGCCTTTTGAATAATGTTTTTAGAACAATGCTGTTAAATGTGGCTCTCGCGATAATTTGTACATTTGTAGAGCGGATGAGAAAAAAAAATCCTCTTTGTATTTATTTTTTCACCTCTCGTTACTAATTTGCAGTTTTTGTCAACATTGAAATCAGAAGAAATTTTTTTTTTTTTCATGCAACATTTCGACTTAGCTTAACTCTCAAATACTGAACTCTCGCGCTTCATCATTATTAATGTGTTTTGGCATAAATAAAAGTATATTTTACCGACATCAAGTCTTGGTACTTTTGGAGAAAATTTTTACACCTTATTAAATGATATTCTTTAATGACAAATTTTCATTCCAAAATCGTAGGAACTACACAACACCTGCAAGGCAATGCAGGAACGCGTGGTCGATCTGATAGGCAAACTGGCACACGATGAACTCACTGCTGAGCTGTTGCAAATCAACGATGAGATGAACAACCTGTTTCTACGGTACAGCCGCTTCGCCAAGAACACGCAGGCGCCGACTGCGAGTGCCCTGGTAGCTCAGGCAATTGGACCTGCACCAGCATCCTCATCTTCAGCTGCTCACCAAAAAAAACTTGAGGCTGGGGATTCGCTCATCGATCTTTCGGACGATGAAGCTGAGGCTGCAGGGGCGGTGGCTCTGCCCATCAGTGCAATGTCTGACCTCAGTACGTATTACAATATATATTATCAAGGCACTTTTTTGTTTACTCTGTTAATTACTGTAAAAATATTTCACTTTTTTTTAAATCATTAATGGGCCACGTATATGTTACAGAACTAGGAGATGACAAAGGAGATGAAAAATTGCGACGAAAGGATGAGAAAGATGAGTTCGACGCGTTTGCACAATCGCGAACTGCAAGTTTCGACGCCACAAAAAACAGGTGAAATTGAATTCGTCAAGGGCTTCGTTATTTTTTAAAAGCTAAACATTTAATATCCTTAAATTTTCAGGCAAGACGAGGGAATGGAATCCACCGGAGCTCGCTCGAAAAATTCGGTAAGATCGTAAGCAGTTTAAAAAAGTTTACGAAGTATCGTTTGAAAAAAATGACTTATTGATTATTCCGTGTCTTTCATGTAGTCGGATAAAACGTTGACATCGTCAGAGTTCGAACGATTCCTGGCAGAGCGCACCGCTGCCGTGGCCAGTGAGATGATTTCGAGTAATAGTGGTAGCCAGGTTACTGCAGCAGCAACAAGCGGCAGCTCTACGGGAACAGTGCAGCGTCAAATTGACAAGGAGAAGGAGGAGAAGTCCCTGTTTGCTCTTTAAGTGGGTGCCTACAACTTTGACTCTGTCATGTTTTCATTTATTTGTATCTCTTGGTATCATAGGATTGTGTGCACTATGCAAAAAATTTTTTTTCTCTACATTTCTGTTTTCCTTCTAATTTTCTATTTAAAAAAACGAGCATTGTGGCATACGTTATCTAAGTAGTTAAGTTATAAAGTGATTAAGTCAATGAGTAAGTATAAGCTCAAAAGTAAGATAATTTTAACTTTTATTTTTTAAACGTCATTTCTTCTTACTTTGCTTATTTTATCATAAGTTCAACGAAATAATTACTATGCAAACATAGGATAAAATCACCTGTCTCAAATTTTGTTAGCGAGAAGAAAACACTACTAAGGAACTTATAACGTGGTTTCATGGATAAAATTTCTAGCCAGGGCTTATTCCTCATCAATTGACTATTAGTTTTAAGATATATTCAGCCAGCATTAAGTATCCTACAACTGGTATTAAAGCATAACTGATATTTTGGCAGGAAAGGGTAATACCAAAATGTTGTACACTATCGTATTAAAATTTCTAATGCGTGGTGAAAAAAAGAACGGCAGAAATGGTTCAATGAAAACCAAATTTTAAAAAAGAATTTATCTGTGTACATAATGAATTGCTACTTCTTAACATCAAGAACTTGATGTCTTTAATATCGCGTTTAATATTTTTGATTAAAGATAAGAGTTTTTAATGTTTTGTTTTTTGCACGGCAGCCATAATTAAGTTACCAAATAGTTGTAGATAATTTATCAGTTTTTGAAAATTTATGTTTTACTTTTTTATGCATGATCATTAAATGGCTTTTTTTCTCCGCGCATAATTTATTAAATATGCCATCATTTGTGAGTAAAAAAAAATTTACTTAGACGAAAATCTACAATATAACAATGAATTTTAATTGGCCATGTACAAGTTGATTTTTTATTTCGATTTATTAATTCTAACCTCTAGTCAAAAACTACAAGAACAGATGCGTAGTTGAATAAAACATGTTATTTATCCTATAAAAATTTTAAAATCATAGTAAGTAAGCTGTTTAGAAAGATGTGCAAATTCTTATTCAACAATTTTTAGTTATAGCAGTATTTTTTTGTTAAAAAATATTTAATCAGCTAATAATTAAAGTAACAAAACGTTTAAAACAAATATTTACGTTAAAATAACAAAAAAATTTATGATTTCTAATTTGTACTATGTAATTTATGAAAAACGTTATTTACTTTGATTCTGAGATGTAAATATCACTTTAATCTTAAGATTGTCATTAGAAAAAAAAAAAAAAATTCTGAATGCAGCTTCCTTTGGCATTTCTCTGGCATTTTTTCTAGTTATTCACGTCAAAAAATTATTTGATAATATATATTGTTACCACCTTTGATTGAGGATGATAAATCAACAAATGCTGATTCAGTGTAATTTTTTTTTAATATTCGTTGAATAAATCTATTCATTTTATTTGTTGAATCTATAAAAGAGAATAATATATAAAGAGATCCTGAATATAATTTAATAAATAAGTAACATACGATTGTATTATTTTTTGTCATGTGATTAAAGAACGAGTAAGAAAATGATAAAATTATTATGCTTTAAACATAAAAGTACTTATTACTTGGTAGTTGGTACTACTCTTACTTGATTCTATGAAATATTTTAAAATGGAAACATTAATTTTGTAACAATCTCCGTAGGAGATGAAATGTATTTTTAGTGTACCTAGATGTATAATGAAAAATCATCGACAGTAGCTGTTGCAATTATTGCAGGATTGAAATAATAAATTTAATGGAGATGTGGTTCAAGTTATGTGAATGTATACAAGGTTTTTCTTTAAAAAATAAAATNACATTACATTTAGTGGAATGGATTTCATATTAATCGTTTCATTTCAGAAACAATAGTTTATTACAATAGTGGAGAACCAAACCATTTATTACAAGGTACCGTAGACTTGTATTTATGTATACATAAAACTATTAAAATAAATATTTCATGACAATAAATGATGAATATTGTCGTAAAAATATTCCTATTCTTTTGAGTGACTATCCTTAAAACATTTACTTTAAAATTATTTCAATGTTGACTTTTATCAAATTTTTTACAATGAATCACAGTAATGGTAAAATATTCATACTTAGGATGAACTTAAATTTATTTATACGTGAAAACTTTTTCTTTAATCTATAATTTTACGTTAGTTTTTTAATGATATTTTTATATTCGAAATAAGTGAAACTTTGAATTATTTTGTAATTCAAATTTGACACATTTTTGTCTACGTATTTATTATTTGCGTGAAACTTACATCGATAGTATACGCGTGTAAAAATATTACGAAATACACACGCACAGATATACTTAAGGAACACACAAATTCATTTCTATACATATATTTTACAATAAGTACACATAAACATATAAATGTAATATATACACGATAAAAACGCATATGCACTGAAATAAAAATACTTTTTGTTTGAATAACGCACATGAAAACTCGAGTTTATTGCATACTATCCGAAATTTAATTATATAAATTAAATAAATTTATTTAACAGGATATATTAAACAAACAAATAAAATTCTATATGGAATGATATTCTGGTAATGCACTGCAATGTACCAGAATAAAATTTTTTTATTGGATGCGAGTAAGCTCAGAAAAGTATTTACCATCTTACGTAGTTTTTGTACTCTTCGTGAATACTTACTCGCTTAATAGTCTCATAGCCCAAGATAATTGAAAAACTAAAGCACGCCGACTGCACTAACCGTGCAGAGAGTCCTTTGGTAAACATGTGTAAGCCTTCCTCAAGCCATAGTACCCTGAACGTATTGTACATGCTGTCCAGTCTTTGTACCTGTAACCTGGCTCTCACGACATCCAGTGGATTCGTTATTATTGTCGTTGTAAAGCCACCCAGTGTTCCTGCTACTGACTGAATCAGTAAATGAGACACCCACTCAGGAAGAACTCTTAGTAACTCGTCTGTTGAAAAAAACAAAACAAAATAAAACTTAAAAAATTCTACTTTTGTAAAACTTTCAAGTTTTCTCAATCAACTATATGCCATTACCTTGATAAGTAGTATACAACCCCCACCATAGCGCGCTGTTAGGAACGTAGGCACATAAAGATGCGACATAGCCCCGGTAAAATCCGCGAAAGCCATCCCTGTGATAAATTAATCTTATAATTTCTCCAGATAGTTGTGTTCTTGATTTTTTAGATTCGAAATTTATTCCTAAAGGGTTCATGCTTGTCTGAAAAATGTAATAAAATTAACAAATCATGATAAAGCAGCAATCAGAAACATTATTTGATTTAAAAAGCATACCTTATCTATGGCTAACTTTCCATGATTAAAGCTAACACCAAGCACCATTAAATGTTGACTTAGTACATCAAATGGGACCACTATAGTCTGGCCTACCACACTGGCACAACCACCCCCAATGAGAGCCTTTATTCTAGAATCAAGTTTGGCAGTAACAGGCTCTTGATTTAACAAGTGTCGTACACCTTCGTAGGTCGAAACATAAAATACTCCTGATACTATTTGAATCGAGCTGATCCAAAAGCCACGATACAAGCCAGCGAAACCCTCTAGTTTGTAAATTTTTTTGTAAGCATCTATCATGCCTGGAACAAAGAGAAAAATTTTTCAAAGTGTAAAGTTACAAATATAAGTAATTAGTAACTAACGGTACTGTTTACGAGCAACCACAAAGTATCCAAATATTTATATTGTACAAATATATATGAAAAAAATCAATGCTCATACCTGTGTACATATGGCTTCTTCTTTGTATCTGTAATCGCGTCTTGATAACTGTAAGTGGATAAAGGCAACTTCTTACTGAGAATGTGGATAACATGCTCAATGGAAAGAACTTTGTCTTGTCCATCATGTCCCACTCTATGGTGCGAATAAATGGGGTTGCTTCTACAGCAGCCATAACTATGTTTCCTGGTGGTAACTTTACTTATTTTATCAAAATTAGTTGTCAAAAACGATATATAGTGATGATGCTGTTCATCCTCATGCATTTCACTGGATTTTAAGTAGTTCTAAAAAAAATCTTATTATCGTTATGTCATTCAATTCAATCTCGTATCAATTAGGAAAAAAAATTTTGATTAATTAAATCTGCCCATGCAACTCGGGAAGAGAGTGAGAAGTAATGTGCTTTCATAGCTAAAGTAAATTTAACAAATTAGCGACTTTTTTAATACGCAAATTTAGCTATCATGCCTCACCAAGTTTTTGTCTTTCAACCATTTATTTACGAAATTTTTTAACATATCATCAAAATGATAAGTACAGTAGTCACTAAAATATTTTCTCTCGCGCTATATATCTATCTTTTTCTTTAGCAAGTGTCAACTTTAAGGTTAAGGCCCCAAAAAAACTTACCTTAAAAATGTCAAGAGCATCGAACTTTGTAGATTAAGCGCACATATCCTCTCATGAGTACTTTAGCAAAGTCGTACAGCAATCATATGCATTATTGTTTTTTCTTACTCTACTATTCTTGTTCTATCGTTTTTTCGTCGTTGTCGTCTACTCTTACGGATTGCTGTGCTTTTGCATCATCATAAATTCACAACACACACACGCATTCATACAACGATCAACTTCGTAAATATTAGTAATCAGCACACTACATATTTATTTTGCAAATCTATAGAAGTATATACATCATTTAAAGAAACTTTATTGCACATCTTGTTAGTCCATCACTGAATTAAGTGCAAGCTTCAAGGTCCTAAAGCAGACAGCTTTTTTGAAGGCGACCTGACGTGCAGCGAAAATATTTTTTTCAGTGAACTGAAGTTAAACGATCCCACCGTTGTCGGTCATCGGTGTCGTGGCAAAATTGAATTTAATTGAACTTTTCTCATATAGAGATATTATACGTAGACTTGTATTTATGTATACATATGATACTCTTGTATATAGGATTGTGTGATAATACTTAATAAATATAAACCAAAAATGAGGAAATATTTACAAGATAAAACATGTTTAAGCAACAGTTTTGTAGCATATAGTGTTACCCCATTCCCTCCTACTATTTTCTATCAGCTAACTGAATTTTATATTTAAGAACAAAACATTTTTCACATTTAACAGTACAAAAGTTTGAATGAAAAAAGTTTCGTCTGCTCGACTAGGCGCCAAATATATAAATTAAAAGTATATGTTCGAAAAGCGACCCCAAATTTTTTATTTTTTACATTCCACGTATAGATATTAAATAGCTTCACGCGTCTTTATAAAATGTCTAAAACGCGTTTAATTTCGGTTAGTAAACTAATATGTTCGTTCATAGTATGACATCTCATGGATCCCCCTCTATTAGACATAATTACATAATCAGGAAAATGTCTAAAACTATAATGAAACGTTCTTTAAGATGGCCATATTGGAAACATTTACGATTATTTCGTCATTTTTCGCCTTCCAAACATGAGCAAGAAATTAATCGTAAAAAATGATTGTTCCAATTATGTTAAATAAAATGTGTCGATCCACTATTTGTTAGAGTAGAGGATTTTTATGACGGTAATGATTGAGACATGTTAAAAATTAATAATTTGTAAGTAAACCATTGGTCAATTTTATTCGTGGATTATATTTATTTAGCGAGTGACAGTCTACCAATAACGTTTTTCATACAAATCGGGAGGAAAATTTAAATTTTATGTTGACGAAGATACATACAAATTTAATAAATAAAACCCAAACCAAACAAATGCATTGCATGCAATCCCACATGGGGATTCCGTCCGGTCTCCGGTGATATGCGTGCTATCGTGCAGCTTAAATTGATGCAGCCAATCCTAAGCGGCCAGATTCGATTTCAACCAATGAGCACCTCAGTAATGAACATTTTTAAATATGGCCGCCGTCTGTTGTAGATATGCAAGAGCAGACAAAAATCGGTGCTCCAATTGCTCCGAATTCAATATACTTAGTAGTAATTACTAAAATTACTACACATAACTTTACGTATATCTTACACCGTGCTCTCTTTTCCACGTACTTAACGATGTAACAATTATAAGCTGTACTTTTAAGTAAATGAAATATAGAAACCGTCTGCTTTGCAACTTGTTGTGTGCGCGCTTTCGTGAACTCGTATACATATATATATATAAGTACGTGTTTTTGTGCACTTTTCTGCGTTTTCATATATGATCATCTATAGATTTGTTCGGGATTAAGCTTGGAGCAGCTCGGAGCGCTTGAATCCATTACATTGACTATAGAAAAAAGGAGCGCTCCGAGCTACTCCAAGCTATCCCGAACAAATCTTATGTAGATGTCGTGACCGAGCTTTCGTATTATATATTTTTGTTCAGTGATCACGTAATCCTCATCGGCCCCTCATCCCTCTCGTCCGCAACCTTGCATCAACAACTACACTCTCCGAAAATAAATAGACATAATATAAGCTGACAAGAGCTAAAAGATGAAAAAATCTGATCTGATGAAAAGAAATCTCATGACCCTATAATTAAGTACTCCATAATAATAATATATATATATATATATATTAGTCCCAAGCTCCCAGTCCCCGTGACTCCTGGAAGCTGCAAGTTCCATCAAGAAGGCAAAGACTATCCAGCACACATAAGTATAACTATACTATACATATTAGGTGCCTAATAACTTTTGATGCGAGAGTTGCGTTGCGAGTCTCTCGAGAGCAGACAGTGCAGCGCGGCGCTGCTCCTTATCTCTTTCATTTTCATCATCTTTCTGCTTCTTCGTCTTCGTTTCCATCGTCGTGCGTCGTGCGCGTGTTCATTTCATTGTATATTTATCAGTTGCGAAGAAGGATTGCAGGCGGCCTCTCTTATCCAACCTCATGGTTTGTTGAAACTTGAAAGCTTTATACAATCAGTTCTCGAAGAGAGACACGCAAAGTGCTAACAATTGTAAGTATATACCTATACTTACATGTGAAAAGCGCACAAGGAACAGTGAGATAAACAACCATTTTCGGAGCAGAGCACATCCAAAGGACAAGACATTGTGTTTTTATTAAAATATTATATAGCAGCTAGAGCAGAAGGTCCGGGAGTATATAGAACTCAGCTGGGGGTCGACCGACAGCATCATTATATTTCTCGTATTCCAAATCACATCATGTACACGGTCTCCAAGGGCCCGAGCAAGATCGTCGCCAAGACACGACGAGGTGAGCACGCGGTCCTACCTCGTGAGACCTGCTTTTCAGTTACGTTTTTGGTATATATAGTGTCGGGCCTTATTTTTATATTATGTGAACATCTATACCTATACACCTACACTCGCTCTCACTCTTTCCGGTTGCGCTATATGATGCAGCAATTTTTTCGTCTTTATTTATTTACTAATTAATTTTTTTGCTCGATTTAAACTATATATTTCATATTTTTGATTTACACCAAGAATGACTTTTTCACAAACACTTGTATTTATTTAGTTCATTATCCAACATACGTTGTAGAAATCGTCTATAATGCAATTGCAAGATCGTTTCTCATAGGTACTTGTGCGGCGAGTACAGACAAAAAAATGGCCTTCTATTATTACATTACATCTGTCATCGAAGTATTTGCCAGTGGATGGATGTGTGTTAAAAATAACACCGGTTTTTTTTCTTATCTTTCCCCTTTGTGCGTCGGGGCTCACCATCCGCGTGGCTATGGGGATATAGTATTCTTGTATTTTATTGCGTGGTTTGAACATTGAAAAGAAATTTTTTTTCTAGCATTGTATTGTCTAATTCTTTCTATTTGTAATAGGAATAAACCAGAATCTTGAAAGATTAGAAAACTTGAGAGACTTAACACGTAAAAGTGATCCTGAAGAAGATATTTCTGAAGAGGATAAGGCCAACATGTAACTATCTTTTTTCAATATTAAAATATAATATTTTTTTAGAAATTTTACAAATCTTGAATGAAAACTTTTTCACCGTAGGAATGTACCAAAACCAGTTTTTTATACAAATGGAAAACTAAAACCAAATTCACAAAGGCACAGACAAAGACAAGAAGCCATTACACCTCAACACGAGGAACTAATTAGATTTGTTTGCGATTGTAAGTAAAGAGTTTAAAGCTTTGGAATAAATAACTTTTCTAAGTCATAATTTTTTTATTTCAGCTTGGAATCAAATAAATGACCGACAAAAGTGCTCATCTTCAGATGATTCTGATGAATCATCCTCCAATGGTAAGGCATTTTATTTTGTTCTTGAAATAATATACTTTTTCACAAAGTTTAACAAATCATAGTGTGCAATACATTACATTTAGTGGAATGGATTTCATATTAATCGTTTCATTTCAGAAACAATAGTTTATTACAATAGTGGAGAACCAAACCATTTATTACAAGGTACACAATAGATACACAAATTGTAGGTATCAAGTAAAAATTAGCATTTAATAGTGTTTAACTGAAATTTTTTCAGATTTCAAACCATTTGATCTAGAATCTTGGTGGGGTAAGAGATTGTTCAACAATATCACAAAATCCTTGTGAATATTCAAGCTCTGGAAAATGGTATCCCCTATCAGAGAAGCTGTGCTCGATCCACACATGACGTGCATTTTTTTCGAACGCGCTCGCGCCATAACTGTCGTACAGAACTCGCAGAGCCGTGTCGATGAGAGAAGACATAAAAAAAAGAAAGAAATAGTAAATAATCTCTCACGCCTGATAAATACGTCAGTCGTGAAGGTTGCTACGAGCAATCGAGTAGACAACAATAGAAGCAATGCATCAACGAAAAGTCGGGAAAAAAATAGTGTGCTGTGCGCGCGTGTCAAGTCTAGACAAACTTAAACGCGGAAAAACATGGAAATAGCATATGTAACTGTTGGGAACGAAGATATTGTGCTTCAAGGGCTGCATATATATGTGCGTGAAAATGCGCCACGTTGTTTAATTTTCCGATTCTTTATAATGCAATCTGCGTTTAAGTGGATGCTAGAATCCCATTTTGCTTGCTTCACTCGAGCAATTATTCTTGGCATTCAGTAAAAAAATCTCATTTTCACTTTTATAAAAAAGATAAAAATCGTTTTTGTTGAATTTTACAAATCTAACAAAAAAGTGGGAATGACATTGCATGTATGATCATTATTTTTTTGTAAAAACTAAAGAAAGACTGATTGTTCGAGTGACTTTTGAAAAAATTCAGAAAGCTGGCAACATTTATGTAAAATAAATCGCCTGTTTCCTGTTAGACTGATACACTTAAGACGCTTGTTAAAAAAAAAAAAAAAAAAAAAAAGAAACACATGTGCGCAATTTTGTAATACATAATACATGATTATGGATCACTAATAACAACCTATAAATTGCGGTGATCCTCCGCATCCTTATACGTGCGCCGAAAAAGAATACATGAGAGCTCATCACACATCTATACAAAAAGGCATTAGTACCAACGATTGCTTTTTTCGTCATCCTTGTATGATCTTCGTTTTTGTTCCCATGGTACTTTTACACACTTGAAAATAGTCCCCTCCCCTTGAAATGCAAGTTAAAAATGAATGGCGCGTAGTCAAAGCGTAGTGCAATATGTAACTGGCGTATTGTTGCCGAATGTTGCTAGATATATAAAAAAAAAAAAAAAAAAAAAATACACATATCTTTACATATTTTGTCAAATTTTTTTTCATCAAACCTCTTTCCATGCAAATGACTTTTTTACTAATAAATTGTAGATATATATAACGTATATACAAGAAATTAGTACTTAGTTGGTTAAATTATTTATTTTTAAAGCTATAAACTTCAATTTTAGGACCAAAACACGTATGCCAAATGCTTTCATACCAACCAAGAGATGGCACAGCAACCGAATTTCTTCGATTTTAAGTACACGATTATTAATCGATTTAACTTCCTCACTTCAGAGCACTTATAATTGACAATGATTTTGTTACAACGCTTGAACGCTCTTATACTGTTCCTATTGAACCAATAAAGGACTGTGATGGACTGTGTGATTATAGAACTCTTTATTCAGTTTCGAAAAATTTTCAAATTACATGCAGAAATAACACTGCAAAATCAGTTGTTTTCAATAAAATAAAAATGAAAAGCTCCTCTGGTAATTATTGTTTGTTGATCCTATTAGATAAAAATTTAAAAAGTTTTAACAATATTGAAACTGTTTTCTTTTAGCAATCAATGAAAAACTTTGTCAAGGCAAAGATGTGTTTGAAAGAATTAACTATTTATATCAGGCTAGTCAAATGGTTTCATCAAAAAATAGTTCTTTAGCATCGTACTACAACTCTATACTTGTGGGATGTGCAAAAAAATCTGTCCTAAGATTGTAAGCATTAATTCAATCATCAAATATAAAAATTGTAACAAAACTGCATTCACATCATCTCATAATTTTTGCAGAGACCACAATCTCAAAAGATCAATATGTAAAACGTGTCAGTGTCCTCTCATTCCTGGAGAAACAGCTCAAGTTCGTTTGTTGGGGAAAAAAAAGAAAATAATGAAGACCACATGCCTAGCATGCAAAAGCACCAAAAATATACCCACTAAAGGAGAACAAACTTTGTGGTCCGAGCAACCAGAAGCTCTGTTGGAGACATTTGATTACAAACCCAAACTAAAAAAAGTTAACATCGATGAAGACTATGCCTCAAGTGACGTCAAAAACGCAAATAATATTAATACAGCTGAAAATCAGTCAACTTGATGAATAAAATATTTTTTACTATTTGAAAAAATTTTTTCCATCAAAAATTTTTTAGGAAGCTTTAACCGACTTAAAAGATATTTTGTAATAATCTTGCGTTTTTCATAATTTTATTTGTAATAGTGCATACGCAGGGGATGCATGCATGGATGTGATATGTAATATTTATTGTATACAAAATATTTTACAAACAGACCGCAAGCGCTTCCAATAACGCAATAAATGCAAATTTTATGAAATAACGCTAGGCCTATTTGCACTCAATTCACGCGGATACAATTATTATTATACACATTATAATTGATCTTAATACTAACATTGGCGCGTTACATTGCAGTTGCGTTTATGGGAAACAAATTTGCTAGAAGTCGTCTGGCAGTTCTATAGCAAGCTCCTGGCGTAAGTATGTAATTACCTTACGTATAAGTCATGAATATACAATATGTCAATATATTCATATATTGTTAATTTGTATAGTGTTAATTATTTTTGCAATCAGCGCCATCTAGCGTTACCCATTTACTTAGACTTCCCGATGGTCAACAGTAGGTAAGCGGAATCCCTATTATACTGGCGATGATGGTCCTCTTCGCTTGAGTGGGGACGTGCGGAGGGGATTGGCGTCTTCATTGAAGACGCCATTTTTGGGACTAAATAGGAAAATAACCAGCCACAAGAGAAGGTATGGTATATATGAGTTGTGTATGCGTGTGAATCCCTCTACCTCACCGCTACTATCGCCTATGCGGTTCCGAAAATGGCGTCTTCTGCCACCACTTGAATATACATACATTATTGTATAAGGCTATTTAAACTATTTAAATTAAGTACATAGAACAGAGTTTTTATTCTATTGGTGATCTATCCGTAATACTTTATATCAGTTAAGTACATTTAGTAAATGATTGGGTATAACTGTATAAAAATCTTTTGTAGTACTATATTCTTCTNATATATAATTTATTCTTTAAAGCGTTCAGTTCACAATCAGCGCCATCTCGCGTTGCGAATTTTGAACTAAAAAGTACCTCTATCTAAAACTCTTGGAAAATGTCCCTAGCCTAGTAACATATGGTTACACCCAGCTAGTGATTTTTACAGTTCTACCACTAGCGTCGTCTGGCGGAGAATTTTTCGAGAATTTTAGGGCTACTTTTTAGTTCAAAATTCGAAACGTGAGATGGCGCTAATTGTAAAATTCCCCAAAGATGTCTTTCAGATGGACAATAGATGTCTACAAAACATCTAAAAGAAATCTAACGAAAATTTGTTTACTGCGCGCAGCAGAGCAGCCACCAGCTACACTGCGGTAGCCGCCAGTCGATTGATAAGTCGAAATATACGAAGTTTAGTTGACACAAAGTTATTGCTCTTTTTTTTACCGATGAACTAACAAAAGAGATCGTTTCCAGAATGCCGGTCCAGGAGGTTGTGGTTCCACAGCCACCTGCCTCGGAACCCGAGGACATTGCGCCGTCAATACAGCCCGTCGTTGGCATTATTTACCCTCCTCCGGAGGTTAGGAGTATCCTTTGCCAATATTTTATTATCTCAAGTCTTTTGGCGACTTTAGTTGAATCAGTTAAAAATTTTTACAGTGTTAATTATATTTTTGCCTGTCTCTTGATCAAAGAAGCAAAAACACAGCACAAGAGCAAGTAAAAAAGTTTCACATGTCATGTTTGTCACCCTTTGCTTCACGTTAGGAGGCAATACAAATACAAGGGATTTGAGACATTCCTTACTTTAGCTTGTAAGATGTAATATTTTGATGAAAAGAAAATTGAGATGCATGTTAAATACTCATGAATGTACTAATCAATTCTAAAACTCCTAAAGGATATATTTCACAAGTTTTTATGCTTCCTCGTTTTTTTACCTTATTTTTCTTAACAGTGAACAGACATTGTCGATAAGACTGCTAGTTTTGTTGCCAGGAATGGTCCTGAATTTGAGGCAAGGATCCGGCAAAACGAATTGGGAAACCCAAAATTCAATTTTTTGAGTTCTGGAGACCCATATCACTCGTACTATCAGCACAAGGTCAAAGAATTCAAAGACGGCAAGGGTCAAGAGCCTACACTCGGCCAGAAAGGTGTGAGTTTGGTGGCGCATCAGAAGCAGCAAGAAATTCTCAAGCAAGTTGAACAACCTTTTGTTCCAAAGGATCCGCCAGCAGAGTTTGAATTCATTGCTGATCCACCTTCCATTTCTGCTTTTGATTTGTAAGTATTATAAAAATTTATTGGGATTCGAGTTGTTAATGTTAGTTATTTTATTTCAGAGATATAGTCAAACTAACAGCGCAGTTCGTAGCTCGTAACGGACGTCAATTTCTGACGAATTTGATGAACAGAGAGCAGAGGAATTTCCAGTTTGACTTTTTACGTCCCCAGCACTCTCTGTTTCAGTACTTTACAAAACTTTTGGAGCAATACACCAAGGTTTTAATTCCTCCAAAAGATTTACTCCCAAAGCTCAAAGATGAGGCTTACAATATCAACAAAATTCTCGACCAAGTCAAATACAGGTCAGAATGGCTCAAATACCAAGAATCGCAAAAGCGCAAGGAAGAGGAAGAGTTGGAGAGAGAAAGGGTAGCCTATGCACAAATAGACTGGCATGATTTTGTTGTGGTTGAAACCGTGGATTATCAACAATTTGAAGTAGGAAATTTCCCTGCTCCAACGACTCCGGATGAGGTTGGCGCCAGAGTCTTAATGCAGGAGCGCATCGAAGACGGAGAGGAAGTGGAGATGCAAATCGAAAGCGACGGCGAGGAAGATACGTTACCGCGCGTAGACGGCGAGAAGGATCGTGCAAGGGATGATAACCGGGTACAAGACATGGAAGAAGACTCAAGCAGCGAGGATGAAATTTCGCCACCAGGTGACTCACAGAAGAAAGACAAACAGGACAGTGCAATGCAACCACCGCCTTTGCCGCCCACGCCGGGTAATGTTGTCGTCAAAAAGGGCTACGATCCCAAACAACACGCGGCCAAGGTGGCTAGGCCAGCAGCGCCCGACGAGTTTCTCATCTCGCCGATCACGGGAGAAAAGATTCCGGCGAGCAAAGTACAAGAACACATGCGCATCGGCCTGCTGGATCCTCGCTGGGTCGAACAGCGTGACAAGCATCTGGACAAAATGGCCCAGGAAACGGTATTCGCACCTGGCACTGCGATCGAGGCTAGTCTCAAACAGCTGGCCGAGCGACGTACCGATATTTTCGGTGTCGGTGATGAAGAAACGGCTATTGGTAAAAAGATTGGCGAGGAAGACAAGAAAAAAGAAGACAAAGTTACGTGGGACGGTCACACGTCGAGTGTTGAGGCTGCCACCAGAGCCGCCAGGGCAAACATCACGCTCGAGGAGCAAATTCATCAAATCCACAAGGTAAGCTTGAAAAAAAAAAGAAAAGATGTGATAACTCGTTAAATGTGGTTTAAGGTATGTTTTGACCAAATGTTGTTTCTTGGTGTTTATAGGTCAAGGGTCTGTTGCCTGATGAGGAGAAGGAAAAGATCGGTCCAAAGCCGGCGAGTCGAGGATCAGAGTTGACTCACATGGCTTCAGCGGCCTCTAAATCCCAAGCCACCCTAAAAGCACCACCGAAGCCCCCGGCACCAAAACCTCCAGTTGTACTTCCACAGCCACCACCTATACAGCCTCCACCACCTCCACAAATAGCCATGCCAGCACCCCCTATTCCAATGCCGCAACCAATGATGCCACAGCCTCCAATGATGATGATGCCAATGCGGCCACCTATGGGACCACCTCCTCCACTGTTACCTCCAACAATGTCTCCGTTTATGCCTGGGCCTCCCATGCAGCCTCCAATGCCACCTCCGGTTGTTCAAATTTTTATCAAGCTTCATGTTCAATTGTAAATTGTGAACACTTTTCTTATACTAATAATTTATTTTGTATGATTCTTCAGATGGCCATGAAACATCCGTCCGAGGGAATGGATGATGGCGAACCACACTCAAAGAAATTGCGCACCGAAGATTCTCTGATTCCAGAAGACCAGTTCTTGATTATGAACAAAGGACCGGTCGTAGTGAACATCGCGACGCCAGTAATGACCGACAAGCCTGAATGGAAACTCAATGGCCAGAATATCAATATTACACTGCAGGTCACAGATTCCGTGTCGACCGTGAAAGCGCGCATACACGAGGTCACGGGTATGCCACCTGGTAAACAGAAGCTGCAATATGAGGTGAAAATGATAAAATTTAAACAATTATACTATTGAAAAGAACAGTAAAATGACATTTGAGTGTAACTGTTACTGAGTCAATCATGTTCATTTTATTTACAGGGAATGTTCTTCAAGGACAGCAATTCTCTCGCTTACTATAATTTGACATCAGGCAGTGTTATCAATCTATTACCCAAAGAAAGAGGTGGTAGAAAGAAGTAAAACGTATAGGTTACAAATTAGGTTTTATTTAAATTAAATAAATTTTTTATGAACTATAACACACACACAGCACGATAGTGTTACTTTTTTAATACAAATTTGATCATGATAGATTCAATGGGTTGACATTAGTCATCTAAGATGTGTAAAAACATGTAAAATAAATAATTATAAAATTATCACGCATCTGATCCGATGTACTATTGTTACAAATCGCTACAAGTCTTTGATCACGTCATAGAATAGTTAATGATTAATTTTGACCGTAAAGTTACGACATACTATGTTCAGTGCATATAAAGATTCTGCATTCTGATTTGTGTTCGTGAGATATTTGCTGATTTAATTAACGTGTTCGTTGGTGTATGATAAAAAATATGCAAAACCTTTGCATGTACCTATGTACTATAAACATAGGGTGTTGAGTTTCGCAAGTAGAACAGACCGAGTTTGGCCAGACGCCCGTAAGTTTTGCAAATCGACTCTTCCTTTTCATTGGCAATACAAAAGAGATTGAATTAAATTTGGATAGTTGAAGTTCCTGGATCTCTAATAAACAAGTTTTGCGTCCGGCTCGAAAAAGCTCATCGAGTTCCAGCGATCGGCAAATTCACTTCCAAGCTTATCCACGAGCGCTTCTCCAGCCGTCAGCCGCTCGCCTTCTCTCCAGCCATCAAGTAGGCGTAGAGATGATAAGTGCAGCATCGGTATCGAGCGGTGCTGAGGGATAAAAAACGTGGCCAAGTCACACGGCAGAGTGTCCCACCAGCAGCGGTGCAGTCTCGGTTACCACACAGCTGTAACACAGGCCGGCTCGGAAACTCGTTCTATCTGTCCCTGTTCGTCGCGCTCGGCGTCTTTTTTTCTACCTAATCCAGAGAGAGGCGAGGGAGTCATCTGGAGAGAGAGAGAGAGAGAGAGAGAAAGAGAAAAAGAACCCAAAGAGCGGCAGTCTACTCGTCGCGGCCGCTGGCCTCGGAAGCTCCGCCGTCGCTCGCCGTGATACGTACATAAAACGCTCGTACAGTACGCATACATGCATCCATATTCCACACTGTTTGGCTTTTCCAGGTTTCGTTGTCTGGCCCCCCCCCTCCCTTTTATTAATAATAATAACTTGTACGCACAGTCGGGACCAAAGTTCCGAGGGCTTTTGAATTATTTGTTTTCCAGCAACAACGCGAGCCCCTTTCCCGAGGTATATAGTGTCAAGTGTTAACGTCCCATGTATCTCAGCTGATACTACTACTTTGACTTGGCAAGTAGTTTCCACGAGTAAGCAAGTAGTGCGAGTGTGCCAGTGGTGCGACTGCAAATGTGTTGAAAGAAAGAAGAAAAAAAATCGGCACCGCACGTACAGTGTATACGTGTGTGTGTGTGTCTGTATGTTGCAACTAAGCCCCTCCCTGGCTGATCTGATACATCATCACCTGCCTATTAGGAGGAGGAGGATCAGGAGAGCAACAGGCACAGCCCGAAAATATATTTGACGTTTTGGAGCAAGTAGCAGCAGTACCAGCTCACTCGTCTCTTCTCGGAGAAGGTTATACAAATGCTACCAGTTTTCTCTGTCTATCTGCAACTTTTTTTTTTCTTTTTTTTTCCCCTCAAGAGCCAGAAGCACTGAGAGAGGAATGTTTCAAGCTCTCTCTCTCTCTCTCTCTCGGGTGGTGTCATTGCGGCAAATACGAATGTTTCTTCGAGGTGAAAGATTCCTCGCTCGTCCGTATACTCCATACCCGGAGCCGATCGTCGGGCCTCCAGCTTTCCGAGCTTCCCGGGGAGCCAATAACTTCGGCTCCCCCCAGGGAGGTCAAAAGACGCGGTCGCTCTTTTTTCCTCCTCGGCTCGGTTCTTTGAATCGTGAATGGGAATTTCTACGCTTTCCCGATCGCTCGCAAAGCCGAGTAGTATATGCCTCCCTGGAGCCGAGATCGAGATTTGAAACGTCGTGCAAACCTATAACTTTCTATCGCGTGCCTCGTAAGCTGTCAGTTTTACCACAAGGAAAATAACATTTATTCCGAATATTTATATTATGTCATTGCAAGTGGTGTTCATCGGTGTCCACTTTTGGTGTCTTTGTACACGTTTCGTAAATTTTATTTACATATCGCGTTCTTTTCCGCATCGAAGCAATTCAGGGCAGTAGCTGTTTCATTATTATTTTTCGAACCCCGTGTGGATACACAAGAGATAAGAGAAAAGGAAACAGCAGCGCTTTATTATTAGTGTACGTAGACCCAATCAAATTGAAAATATTGCGTTTTTCACGCATCTGTATTATTGGCAAGTACATCGCGATCGTATTATCTTGCCGATGATTTAGCTCAGCGTATAAACGCTTGCATCATATATGTGAGTATATTGCGTAACCCCTTGACACGTGCACTTTCGTTAAGTTGATGGGCTTCGATCCGTCGCTCTTTGTATGTACTATATAAGACCGATGCTCTGCGCTTTTTTTCTTCTTCGAGAACGTCAAGAGCTCTTGGGTACAGCCTTTTTTTTCCCCTCACAAATAACACCTTTTCGGCAGTTCGATTACGTAATTTCAAAAAAAGTACTTTTTTTTTTCTTTACACAATATTTATGTATAGTACATAGAGGGACACGTTTTGTTTTCATTGAATTTCTTGTAATATTTACGAACGATAGCTGACACGTAAATTTTACCCACTAAGTACAGTACATTGTCCCCGAAATATAATTTATCACGTGTGCGTTGCTCAAGTATCTGACATTCATTGAGTGCCTTTTTATCTCTACCGATCATCGCTCGATTTATCGAATAATTTATTGCAAATGAAATTTACAAGTTTGCCCGCTATTTGTGCAGTTTTCGTATTGTTTACTGTTTAAAACCAGTAGTTATTGTATGGCAGAGTATGCATTACTGCTACAATGAGAAGAAGAAGAAAACAAAACAACAACCACGTGACTCTACGTAGCGATCGGTAGTGATTGTAATGATTGTAGGTACATTGTTTTTTTTTTACGACGAGTTTATTGGTGCATCGGTCTCTTCGTCTCTGTGTTTTATTTACTATTTTTAAGTAATACAGTACAATGTACTCCGATCCATTGCTCGACACAATCATTTTGTTTCAAAGTGCCATCCGATATGCTTGGTTTTGCTGTGTACCAAATTTAAGCTTCAGTGGGGGTGTTTTTAAAACAGGAGGTGAAATTTAGAGGTACACAAACTTTTCGTCGAGTATCATTTTACTTCTGAGTTCATGCTTGTTGCCATTGTTACTGTCTCGGCAATAATAAGACCGAAGAAGCTATACAGGAGATGGAAGATGAAAAAAATTTTTTTCGTTCGATAGCCGACCAAGAGAATCGGAAAAAAACAATACGAGGAAATTAAGATGAGTATCAATCTCCATCGTGGTATTTTTCCCACCTCGATTTTGTTTTTTGGTTTCATTCCGTCAAGCTCTCGTCTTCTTCGTGTTATTTTCATTCTTTTCATCCGATCGCTTTGGCCTTTCACCGTAACGAGGAGCAACCAGTGTGCGTAAGTATATTAATTGCAGCTCGGGATTCATCGAGATGAATAAAACGCGATCATCGCGATGCGCTTATTTTCATTCATTAAACTCAATAAAATACGTACGCGAGTTTGATCCGAGTCTATTGGGAAAATTGTTTGTCTCGTTGCTGGGCAATAGAATTTTTTTAAATTTTTTTATGAGAAACATCTCCAAGACACCGCTGTCATCGTTAATAAACTCGAGAAGTTGATGGTAGGTATCTGTACTTTTGGGGAATAATCAAGAGGTGTTGAGTGGGTGGAATTCGTGAACCATTGAGCTCATGCGTGCGAACGATCATTCCACGAAAAACTCTTGTTAAAAAAAAAAATTTTTTTTTGGGGCATGTTTTCAAGAGTATGAAAAAATTTGCGAGTTCGCAATAAATGAGGCGGTGACTAATTTTTTTTTCAAGCTGTTTTGGGAATTTTCATGGGCTAGTCTCTGGAGAATATAGTTTTTAAGCTTATTACCGAAATAAAGGTGATATTCGAGTAACATTATTTCAAAGCTTCGAAAAATATCATCATGTTATCAAATTTGCGAATTTTTAGGAGTTATCATAAACTATGAACTATAAGAAAAAATTACAAAAAATGTTTTTTGTTATAACTGGTTAAAAAATGTCTATCTAAAAGTATATCATCTAATGTTACCAAAAACGTGTGTCTCTTTACTTACTAGATATTAATTGATATTAGCTTAAAATCATTATTCTTGAAGTGTATCTCAAATAATTTTTGTTTTTTTTTTCATTTTCGTGCATATTACTCAAGTTTTTTTTGTGGAATTTACTCTTGAATTTTTTCACAGTCCGTTACAAAAAAAAGAAAACTCAGTTGGGCGGTCCTCAGAAGAGGTTTATTTTTAATTCTCTTTGAGAATGATTGACGTAAAATATCGAAATTTCGTTAGCGTACGGCATAACTTTCTTGAGCATTTACTTTCATAGATCCCGATTTCTCTGGAAAATAAATGTATTAATATCTCGCGTTAAAAATAGTATTTCACGTACTTAAAGTCAAAGAAACAAGAAAGAAAAAGAAAAGTTAGTATTTTCCAAAATGGACGTTATCAATTATCATTAAAGAATAAAGTAATTTAAACGAAACACTTTATTCATCAGGAAATTTTTTACTCACAATAGTTATTAGTCTTTGCAGGTGAAGGAAAAAAAAGTAATAATAAATAAATAAATCCTTGCTTATACACTGAACTTTGTAGGAAATTATAAAATGTATACGTAATTTGGTGTACATGATATATTTAAAAATGAGGGATCCAAGCTTGACTAGTTCGGACGACCGCATCAATTGAGACGTTTCATAAGTTACAATAAGGACTGATTGGCTGCAGACGTTATGTACAATATTTTTCTGCACGCAAAAATCAAACGAAAAATAAATGAGCCAGCAAGACATTATGATCCTCAGCAAACAATACCTATCAAACGTGATTTTTCAGTTATTACTGAGTGCGTTTGATGCATGTATGACTGTTTAATTTTTGTATTCTCTAAAATAATTTAATTTAAATATTAACTCACGATATTAAAAATAAACCAAATACATGCACCTTTATTCAATTGTACTGTTACAAAAAATACCGATTAGCAAGAAAAAAAGCATAAAATGCACATTTTTTAAATCGGCTTAAGTCATGTATAAATATTTGTACCACTGGTAAGTTTTAATAGATATTTATAAAGCGTTAATAATATTTTAGAGGGCACAGCAGCACTCAAAAATACCCAGAGTGGAAAATAGTTATTTACGTAACAAGTGCGGAAAAGACGATTTCCCGCACGAGTCGTGATTGACTCGCACGAGTGGCCGGAGTTGACGGGAAAGAGTACCAGTTGAGCACACGAGTGCGTAGCACGAGTGTGATCGCAAGGTACGAGTTAGCGTCACCGGCCACTCGTGCGAGTCTATCACACGAGTGCGGGAAATCGTCCCACACGAGTTGCGTACAAGTTTTTTCGCAATGTGTGAGGAAAATAGGTACAAAATAGGTATGAATTTTGATTACCAGTGTGTAGCAAAATTTTTTCCGGTGTGTGGCAAAACTATTTCCGTACATCTTTTCCGCACAATGTGCGGCAAAAACCTTTTCCGCACACCTTTGTCGCACACTATGTGGGAAAATCGATTTTCCACACTAATACCAGTGCGAAAAACACCAACTTTCCGCACACTATTGCGAAATAGTAGTTTTCCTACGAGTTTGAAAAATCTTTGTTTGCGAACCGAGAGGTTTGCGGCCCGAGCCGAAGGCGAGGTCCGTAACGAGGTTCGTAAAGGAGATTTTTCGAACGAGTATCGGAAAACTGCTTTTTTGCCCGAGGAAGTACCAGCCTCCCAAAACCACCCGAGGGCGGAAAAAAATTGTTCACTGTAAAATATTATGATCAAGCCTAGGCTACCACTTCGGTACTTTAGTATCTTCATTTACTATAATAAATAATTTGTATCACAGAACGAATAAAAAACTGTTAATTAACTAAGATGATTTTATACTCACGCGATCACAAGCAGACATTACTGAGTACAACATTTTCTAGATCTTCTGAACACAAGCTTTCTAGTTTATAAGTTCAATTGCGGTATACGATTGTTTATTAAAAATCTTGAAATTAGATTCTAGAGAGTTATGTTTTAAAAATAAAAAGGAATAACTTATGTGTTTTTTAAGGTAAAATAAATGAATCAACTATTAAATTGTTGAATGTGCTTCTACAATATTTTGTTCTACAATTTGATCACCTATTTCAAACTTCTTTTTTTTTTACACAGCAAAATAAGTATTAAATTACTGTTTGAAAAGATTAATATTCACATAAAAGAATATAGTGCAGCAGTGTAAGAAGCTGATAATTTTAACACCTGCAATAAAAAAATATTTGCATTGCTTAAATTTAGTTCGATTATCATTTTTAAATCAATGTCATACCTTTGCAAAATTGAATAAAGATATTTTGATTAATTTTCCACCACTTAAATAA